CAGCAAGGCAGGACAAGGCCCAGGAATAAGCCAGATGGGAACTTAGGGTCTGATCAGCCCTTCACTTGCCACTGAGAAGAGCAAACTGAAGTCCAGAAAACAAGAAAGCCTCAGGCCCATGTTGTTGTTAGGTGTCTTTGAGTTGGTTCCAACTCAGAAAGACCCTGTATAGGGTTTCAGAGGAGTATCTGGTGGATTTGAATTGTCAATCTTGTAGTCAGCAATTCAGCGCTTACCCCACAGTGTCACATCTTCTAAAAATCACCAAACCAAACTCACTGGCCTGGACTATATTCTGAGTCTTAGAGATCCTATAGGGCAGAATCCAACTGCTCCACAGAATTCTGAAACTGCATCTTTACTGAAGCAAACTGTCTCATGTCTCCCACTGAGCAGCTGGTGAGTTTGAACCGTCAACCTTGAGCATCCCAATACTTAACCCACAATGCCACCAGGGTTCCTTAAGAGTAATACTGTTGTGTCCGTTTTTAACTCCCAGTGACCCTGTATAGGGTTTCGGAGGTTTTAAATCTTTGCAGGAGTAGAAAGCTTCATCTTTCTCCCTGAGGAGCGGCTGGTGGGCTTGAGCTGGTTTTTAGAAGAATTTTATTACCGTCTCAGGACTTTGAACAGAAAATCGGGGTAGGGTGAAAGGAGAAGAGGTAATGGGAGGGAGAAGACAGAAATAGGTACAAAGGAAGTCTGCATAATGGAGAGTGGTTAGACTCCAAGAGGGACTTCCTGGTCTTCTTTGGGAAGTTTCCAGGACTCATCCAGGGACTGCCCCAGCCAGTAGAGGAGGTGGGGGCTCCAGAGCGTGAAATCCAGAGAGGAGGGAGACCCCAGCCCTCCCTGAATGAAGTGCATGGAGTAAGGGGGGAAAGAGGGGGTGGTCATCCTGGTTCTGCATCCTCCATTCCCGACACTGGAGGGAGGCCACTGTAGGAGCTGGGAATTTCCTGCCCCGCTGAAGATTCTGGGAAATTAGACAGCTGCAGGGCGGGGCTGACTTCTAGTGTCCCTGCCCTGCCCTCCCCTTGGTCCCGCCGGTTCCCCAGGCTCACCTCGCCTTCCCTCCAACCCAAGAAGGCCCTCTTCCAACTGCTCCTCCTCCCCCCTCGGACCATGACTTTCACCCTCAGACCCTCAGATCTTCTTCCTCGCAGTGCTACTCCCCCTTTTACCCTCTGCAAATCACCTCATCCCTCAATCCCCTACTTTCCCCCTCATCTCTCTCTTCCTCCTTCAGAACTGCTTCTCCTCACTAAGTCCTTCTCATACTGTGCTCTTGGCCTAAGACCCTTCCTCCCTCGGAGCCTAACCTCCACCCTCAGACACTCACCTCTTCCTTCAGTCAGACCCTCTGCCTCTCCCTGAGGGCCTGGTCCCCTGTCTAAGGCCTCATCCCCCTCCTTCAGACCCTCATTCCTTCCTGAGTCTCTTACCACTTCCCTCAGACCCTCTTCCTGAGGGCTTGTCCCCCTTCCTCAGACCCTCACCACCATCATAGATAGCCTCTCCCCTTCTTCCCTCAGACCATCGCCTCCTCTTTCAGATCCTCTCCCACCAACCATCTGCTTCTCTTTCAGGCCTATCTTTCTCTGAGGGTTCTACTCCCTCAAACCCTTCTAGTCCTCACCTCTTCCTCCACCCTCAGACTCTGAACCATCAGCACCCTCTTTCCCAGTCCCTGAATATCCCTTCTGGGCTGACCGTTGTCTCCACAGTCCTACCTTGACCCAGACAGTGTACACTATCTGCCATGGAATGCCAGGCAGCAGGGTATTGGTGTGGGTTACCACTTCCACAAGCCCCGCCCCTCAGAACCTGTTTCCCTTTCTGTACAATGGGGTAGTACTTCATACCACATTCCTCCCCTGTGTTTGAGGGTCCCCAGGGGGCCGAGAAGGTGAACAAGAGCCAGGTAATCCTTCAGTTGTAGTTGCCACAATACTGGGAGGCATCACACCCATTTTACAGAAAAAGAAACTGAGTCTTCAGAGATGGATGGCCTATTTCATGTTCTACCTCAGACAGAACTAACAAGAGGGGAAACAGCAGGGTCAGACACAGAGCAACCCAGGGGAGGGGGAGGAGAGGTAGTCTGACTGTCTCTCCTCATCTTTCCGTCTCTGAGTCTCCACATCTTTCTTGCTGGGAGGCAGTTCCAAGAGGCCCTGGAATCCCGTTCCACTCCCATTCACCCTGAATGGAGCAAGGGATGGAGGTGGGATTTGAAACTAGATCTATGAGTCCAGATGTTTCACTGTGACAGGTTGCTGAATGGGACCAGGAGGCTCACAGCCGGATAAACGATCCACCGAGGTGAGACCCGTACTGGCCAAAGGCTTTTCCCAGGGCTGGAACACCCACTTTCAGGTTCTAAATAGATGCTTCCGGGGAGACAGACAAAAGCAGGCAAAGAATAGGACAAAGAGGTGCAATAGGGTCGCAAGAGACAGAAACAAAGAGACGTGAGACAAGGGAGGCCAAAGACAGAGGGACGGAGTTCAGAGAATCAGGGAGACCGCGCCTGCCGCGCGGGCAGCTCCCGAGTGCAGCCCCCACCTCCCCCCGCCCCGCCCCGCCCCCCTGAGTCCGAAAGCCCTCCCCCTCCGCCTCCCTGGGCCTAGTTGACCGGGACTCAACCCCAGAGGCGGCTCCGCCCCCAGGGAAATCCGGGAAAGCCCCGCGCCGCTGAGCCCGTCCCCGGGGCGGGGAGATGGAGGGGAGGGGACCAGAAAGAAGACAAGGAAGGGGCTGCCTCTGTCCCCTCCCTCCCCGCCAGCTCCTGCGGGTCTGAGTCAGGCCCCCAACTCGCCCGGCTGGTTCCCTGCACACGCCCACCAGCCCCTCCTCGATGGGAGGGGAAAGTGAGGGTGCTGGGGAGTCAGACTGCCCCCTTTTGGGCCTTGATCGGTTAGTCTATGGCCTGCTAGTTTCTTGTTATCTTTTGGTCTCTTTCTCTCTCTCTCTCTCTCTTCTTTTTTTTAAATGTTTTATTGTGAATTATGTGATAGTTTACATGGGAGAACATTAGCTCCACATTCATCCGATCATACATCGCTTCATTGCCATGGCTACTATCCCCTCCAAGCATCATCAACCCTGCAAGCCTGCACCCTTCCCCTCCCCAGCCATCAGCACACAGCCCCTCTCCCTCTCTTGGTCTAGAGTCTCTAGCTGCTCCATCTCTTCACGTCATCATCTCTGCCTCCATCTCTGGCATCACTGTTTCTCTGGATAGGGTCTTTCACTCCGCTCTTCGCCCTTGATGTTCCCAGGGGCCTCCGCTCCTGGACTGCAAAGTCAATCACTCCCCTACTTTTGCTGTAAAACCTCTACCTTTATATTTCCAACCCTCACAGTCAGTCCTGATAACAATTATTCACCATTGTACCACATGGGACCTATCCCCATCTCCTTTCATTAGCCCTGCCCAGACAGACTGGATACTACTCAGTGGAGATTCTACCTTCCTCCATGTCCTCTGGATCTAGGCTCCCTCTTGAAAGCTTGTAAGCCAGTCACTTCTTGCCCTTGTAGGCCCCCACCCCCATTTTGGGTAGTCAATGTCCAAGTTGCCCATCCCTGTCTACTCTGTGTATGGAGGGGATGGGAATGATCCTCACTGTAAAGATGTGTTCCTTCTTTTGAGCTACTACATCCATAGATAGAGGTCAAATTCATCAAATTGTATCTGATTCTACTTTTTTTTTTTCCTTTTCTTTCTTCTTCTAGTTGAGCTCTGATCATCCAGTCATTAAAGCCAGGTCGAGTGGGTATTATCTGCAAGTGTGGGGTGTTCTCATGCATATGCCCTCTCTTCTATCAGCTGGACACTCCACTTGAGTCCTCTGTGGCTATGTCACTGACTCTGGGCCCAAGAATCCCCAGGACTTCCCACACTGCTGGCCAACCAGGTCTCCACCTGGGTTCACAGGAGTCTATTGATCATTGTTGGGCTTAGCTGGCGCTGTTTTTCCCTCACTTCCCCTTATCAGTGATGAACGTGGTCACCAATCAGAGTGCATGTCTGCTCATGTATTCCCATTGAGTCTTAGTCTTGGAAGGGGGCTTGCCCTGAGGGGACCCATTGGTCTCTTTTTCTTATCTCTCAGGATCTCCAGGTTTCTGTGCTCACTCAGAATCCCATGGGCACCCACCCTGTGTCCCGCGGGCCGGCCTAGGTGCAGGGACCTAGCAGGGAGGTACACATTTAGTATTTCTCTGTGCGCCCCCACCCACCACAGGCACAGCTGGTGAGGCCCCCCGTGGGTGCAGGAAGAGTTCCTGGGCTCTTTCTCACTCGCACAAAGGAGGAAACGGCAGGGAGAGGGAAGTGGCTAGTCAAGGTCACCCGGGGAGGAAGTGGGAGTCGGGACTTGAACCATCCTAGCGACTCCATAGCCTCTTGGCTTCCCAGGGGAGAGCGACACAAAGAGACAATCGAGAGATAGACAGAAATAGGGAGATACAGAGAAAGTGAGAAAGGAGTTCAGAAACTCACCAAGTCAGAGACAGTTACAGAGACCCGGAGAGATCAAGGTAGAAAAACAAGCCAGACAAAAACACTGCACCAGACCTGGAGGGCTGGAGACGTTCCAACCCCGACTCGAACCCTGACCCCAGCCCCGCCCCCGCCCCCGCCCCCCGTGAAGCCGACTCTCCCGCCCTGGCAGTCACGTGGTCCACTGTCCTCTTGCGCG